CTGCAAGTTTGACATATATCGGCTGTTTTAATCTGGTGATAAAATAAATAATCAAAATATTTACGACTTAAATTACTTTATTAAATTTCCAAACGGAAAAAAAACTCCCTATATCCTGGAAAAATTTCGAATTAAAGCATCGGATTTTCGTTCACAAGACTACAATTTCCATGGTTTCAGTTGAACACTTAATAACAACTTGGAAAAACAATTAATATAGTTTTGGTTAAGTTAAAAATGAACTTTCTGCGAAAGTTAAAGTAATTTTGTATACATAAATTTAAAGCTTAAAAAAACTGCTTTTGATAAATAACAAATTAATAAAGGGTAGAACTAGAAAAAAACAAACCTGCTCATAATGCATTATGGTAAACTCGAACTGCAACTTTGCATATACTATATACACTGTAGGGGCGTACGAATATTTTTTATTTGCTTATCTATATGAACTTACTTTTAATGTGTACAAATATCTTAATGGCAACTCCATTCAGCACAATATGTCTTAGTTTTTACCGTTAATTCTATTTTTACGAAAAAAATGCCCATTTTGTAAACTCGTATATCTATTTTGAGGCGACATTTCGTTTTTGATATGACTGGTTAAAAATTTATAAAGTGTGATTAAATTAATTAATGTTTCGGAGTTTGATTCGAACTTTACATTAAATCTTAAAATCATGTTTCATAGTTATTATTTTTAATAATAATAAAACATTTTGCGATAAAGCAAAGCCCAAAATTCATTTCAAATCGAATTAATGAAGCTTTTTATTTCGAATAGTTTTTTAAAAACTTCTAATAATTAAATTTCATAGGACAGACGAAAACATTTTTTACTCAGGCTATTTTGGGATTCGGGAATGAATTAGAAAAGTAATTCCGAGATTTGTTTAACGCAGTTTGCGTCCTAAAAATCATTGTATTTTTATGCTAGTTAGAAATGGGCAGGATGTTACGAAAAGATAGCCGTAATATTCCTTTTTAGAATTCTTATTAAAAATTAAAATGAAAAGTCCACATTGGAGATGCAGTTTAGTGCAGGAAGGCTACATAATATATATATACAGTCAAACCTCGCTATCTCGAACCTCGATTTCACGAATTTTTCGATATCTCGAAGAAAAAAAATATTCCCTTCAAATTTCCTATACACTCAATGTTAAAAAAAACTTGATTTCACGAATTTTTTTTTCTAATCCCTCGATAACTTGAATTTTTTTTCATAAATAGTGTAGATTTTTTTTCTAAAATTAAAAAAATATTCCAAAAAAAAAGTTTTAAGAATGGCTGACAAGGCATGGAATGATTTGTCTTCATCTACGATAATGAAAGGCTTCAAGAAGTCTGGATTCATTAAAGATCACGAAAGTAGTCAAACAATCAATATCGTTAATTCTGCTGAAAACTACACCGAAAATGATTGAAACAGATTGACCGGACTCATGAAGCTTGAAGACATCGAATTTCATGACTTTGTAAACGTAGATTATCCAGTAACAGTGCGTGGTCAGTGGGATGACAATGATATCATCGCTCAAACGAAAGCTTTTTGTGAACTATCAGAAGAAGAGGATGAGGAAATCAAAGATTTACCGCCCAATGTTACTAACAAACAAGCACTTTCTGCAGTGAACACTGAAAGGAGATTCATTGAGAGGCAGCCGAATATGTCAGAGGAGACATTTAAAGCTATAGTCCACTTAGAAAGTGTTATAGACAAACTTTCTTACTCATCTATAAAGCAAACAACAATTTAATCTTTTTTTAAATGAAAGTGTAAAAAGTGTTTTTAGAATAAATATGGAATAGTAAATAAGGTATGTAACGAGCATTTTTCTTTATTCTACCATCGATAACATGCGATTTTCGATATCTCGAATTTTTTCTCCTCTCCCTTCAAGTTCGAGATATCGAGGTTTGACTGTATATATTATATTAAGCAGGAAATAATATTTATATTATATTGGCGTTTCTACAATAGTGCTAAATTTTTAAAAGCGTTTCTGATTGTCATTATTTCTTTTAACGTTTTTTGGATAATTTTTCATCAACCATTTTTTTTATTTTAATATCTGTTAGTCAGCTTTTTTTTATTTTATTTATCTTGAATATTTCTAATTATCTTTAACATTTATATTAAAGTTTTTTCTCTTTACCCCATACCAATAATACAGCTAAGTTTTGATTATTTTTCAATAATGACTAAATTTATTTATAATTTTTTTTTTATTTTTTAAATACTATATATACATATTACAAGTTAAATGTTGCGATTCGGCCGTCGAATATTCGGTATTCGACCAAATCACTATTTATTACATCTCTCAGCGGAGCTGATGTAGACCGCTGGGATTCCAGGGTTACCTCATTGGGAGGCAAGAGCTCTAATTATTATTTTTTTATTTTTTAAATACTATATATACATATTACAAGTTAAATGTTGCGATTCGGCCGTCGAATATTCGATATTCGACCAAATCACTATTTATTACATCTCTCAGCGGAGCTGATGTAGACCGCTGGGATTCCAGGGTTACCTCATTGGGAGGCAAGAGCTCTATCCCCTGAGCCACCAAGATTTTAAGGAATGCGCTTTCTTTCTCCTCCCTATAGTAGTTAACAGAATTAAAGCTAGATGCCGGTTTTTGAGCATTTCCACTATATCCTTATTCAGGGTTCCCACTCTATGATGAGATTGAAATTCAAGGACTTTCCAGGACTTTTCAAGGACCTCAACAAAATTTTCAAGGACCTTAATCTAAGACCAATTTTAAAAATTATTCTCTTCTATTTTACTAGAAGCAACAATGCTTGTTGTGGCAATAATTAATTTCAAATATAATACCTAAATGCTTTGCCTATATAGAGAGAAGAGAGTATATGTATTATGGACTAAAATTTATATTTTTTTAAAAACAACCCTACTGGTTTTACATATTAATTCACAAAATCATTTTCAGCACAATCTATAACTAATGGTAATGAGGTGTTAATGGTGAAATCCTTTAATCCTGTGTATTTCCATGTGAAGGCTGCATGAAAGACAGAGCTAAATCTTAGGTATTCCATATTCCATGACTATTCCATAACCCCCTCCTCTCCTCTATTAAACATCGTTTCTGAAATTATTCATCCATAATTTACACAACCTTCTCTAAATGTTATGCAGCAACAATTCTTTCTGAAAATAAAAATTAGAAGGAACATATCCCATTTTCACCATGTTTAAAAGCATTATTCGTTATGTGTAATCCACAACTGCCAATGAATATGACCTGGTGGGAATATTTCTCTTTTAATTCACACTGAAGCTTCTAATAGAATTTCCAATTGACATAGGGTCCATCCATGGATAATTGAAGTATTTTAGAGAGCTTTTAACCATCATCCATGCATTTGTAAAAAGAGGACAAAATATTTTCTGCAGTTCCATGACCCATAAATTGGGAGGTAAGATACTTAGTGCAAACTTTATTATCAATTCCTTACCATAATGTCCATCTGCTTAGATTGTAGAGACTGATTTAACGTCTCATCAAAGAGTACAGTGTAGCAATCAACATTCTTCAGCTCATTTATAAGAATCCCTTTGAAGTATAGTGCCAATCCAAAGGAGCCCAAATAGGCTCACTTTGTGGCACTACAAAAAAATTGTCTCGCTATACAGCTATCAGCAAACATTTTGGAGAACAATTTACTAATCCCTTCACAGGAGTTACATGAATAATTACTAGTGATGCACTTCAGACTCCAGAGAATTTCAGCATCAAGCACATTCCTTTTGACCAGATAAGAAGACAATGTTACCTCGGCCACTAAAGTTTCTGTTTCACATGGGGCACACGATGTTGAAGGAGTATTTACACCAGATGAATTAGATGTTGATGTCTTTGGAAAAAGAGAACTCAGGGCATGAGACTGCTTTTTTGTTTTACCTTTCTTTGATGTGTGATTTCAGAGCAGATTCTTCCATTTTCGCGATATCGATCTCCTTCATGCATAATCGGCACTTGGCTCTGAACTTCTTTTCGGGCATCGATAAAATCCATTCTTTATAAGCTTGATTATCCATCCATTGGGGATTAAAATAGCACTTCCCAGGCATAACTAGTCTAAACTACATAACACAAATACGAAGCCGTGCCTTTGCGAATACGCTTTACAATAAAGTTTTGAAATGACGCAAACGTAAGGACAAGTGCGGATGGTAAAACGGCAAATTTATTGAAAACTACAAGGTACATATTGTTACGAAATTCGAGAGTATTCCAGTTTCGATAAGAAAAAAGAAGATCTAAGCATATGCGACAGAAGATGAAGTGGAGTCTCGCCCCGAACGCATTGATTGTCTGCTGTGCTCCGCGCGCTTGGCAGACACCAAGCCCGGTTAGAAACGGTGGCGTTAAAAACCACGTGAGAGAGCTCGGGAACAAAACAGAAAGAACGAGAAAGATCCGCGGGTGTTTTATAAAAAGGGCCGTCGGCAGTGTTGGACAAATTCAAGGACCTATCAAGTTTTTCAAGGACCTAAGATGTTTTTCAAGCACTTTCAAGGACCTAAATTTAGCAAAAAAAATTTCAAGGACTTTCAAGGACTCTCAAGGACCGTGGGAACCCTGTTATTTAATGATATTGTATAAACTTTTATTGTTTTCTGTGTTTTTGAATTATACGAAACATTTCGGGCAATGAAATAATAAGGCACATTTTCAAATTATGAGGAAAGATTTTGGAGAAAAAACACCTTGATTCCATGTAAGCCATAAAATGTTTTTTATATATTGTGCTGCAATCTTGGGGAAATTCACGGAATTCACAAATTAACTCTCTGGAAACAATACTGGGGTAGAGTTTCAGTGAAAAACAAAAACGTCATATTTGGATAAAGGGTGGCTCATGACTATATTAGCTAATCCCTTTGTAAACTAAATACCAGATGAGTTCTTCGAAAATAAAATTTTAGTACAAAAATAATGCAATAATAATAAAATGAAAACTAAAAAGATAAAAACAACATTTATTTAATTGACAAGAACATAACAGATAGAATCATTATTTCATGTATCATTAATTCAACATCATTTCAACAAATGAGGTGGGTTGGTTATCTAGTATAGGAACATTTTGAACTTCTCTCTCAGGAGTGAAATCAGTCTTATCTTTGTTTCTTCAACATTAAAAAGAGTATAAAAACGTGCCTATTCTCTGATCTAGCGATTAAGAAATTCAATGACAAGTTGTATCAGAATGATTTATAACTGATATTTTTGATCACCTGATCAGAGAATAAGCCTGATACAGAGATGTACAAACTATACGGACAATTATGATGTACAAAAATAAAATCTGGAGATGGAAAAAGTAAATTTACCAAAGCTTATTAGAAATTGTATAGCTTTCCCTCTTTTAGTTTTACAAAATTATTTTGTTAGGGTCTTACTTATTTCTTTTTTTTTCTGTTACAATAACTTATCAGTACTTAAAGTAAACAAAGAATAACATTAAGAATTGACAAACTTATTCGAAATGTCACAACTATCAAATTGAAACTTTTATATAGATTGTATATATTCTACAGTCACAGTTTGATGGGCTGAACTACGATTTGCTATTTAAGAAATGCAAACTATAATAATTTTAGAAACGAAATCGGACAAATACGTAATGCTAAAATAAAAAACTTATGATCTGATTGTCAGATTTCTACATAGTAAGATGCATTTGTATATCCCATGATGTGAAAAATTTTAATATTGTTTTATATTAAGCAATAAATAATCTTTATAACTTTATCTTCATAGAGCTTTATTAATTAAATTAATTTTTTAATTGTATGAAAAAGTGTTTTTTGATTTGCCTGAATAGTTGTGGCACAGATGTGGCAAAATTCGCAACAAATAAAATTCATATTAAGGAGACTAAATTTTCAACGATTCTTCATACCAAATTATTGGAACCATATTCTCCAAATTGCGACTATGCTTCTCCCATATTTTGAGAATCGAGAACCCTAATCCGTTGAATAAAGAGGCCTGTTTGTTCGTATAAAGTATGTTTTTTAAATCTAATTTTTGTAACCAATCGAATCATTAAGATTGCACGTCAGTAGGGGATAATACGATCATTAGTTCAAAAGCTATCTAGGTTTCCATTCTTTATTTTGCACACTGTACATCTCTGTTTTTCGGTAAAAGGGTAGAGATTAGAAAAAAAGAGCAATTATTAAAATGAAAAGCATATTTAAAAACGAAAAGTCACCATCATACTCAATTTCGAGAAATATAGAGTGTCTTGAGGGTTATTTTCTGAAAGTGTATAGCATCAGAAAGCGCCAAGTGGAACTTTTTCGAACTAATAAAACACAGGTGTAATAGTAAAACTGTGAGGCAACAATTTTATACAACACATACTAATTTATGATACTGGAATCAACAGAGATTTGATCGAATAAAACCTTTTCTGTACTACCATGACTACAATTGAGTAAGATCCCGAGCTTCAATTCTTTTCTTTCTGGTTAGAGCGAATGTGGATTCAGCATTCCTTTTTTCCTTACCTCCTTTTGTTTAAAGTTTTCTTTTCACAGAAAAGACTCAAGAGTTTGAAAGATGATTTCTGCTAATTATATAACTCATTAAGAAAACACAAGGTTCTTGAGGCGAATCTATCTTGCTATTGCTTCATAAGGTGGAGGCGGTTCTGTTCCCTAAAAAGAATGGAAATTGTTTTTACTGAAATCTTTAGAATGCATGTTTATGGATAGTTAACTGAATGTAAACAATAACAAGCTTCCTAAAACCGGAAGAAATATAGAAAACTTCCGGTGTATCCCTCCGCTTATGTTATGCTTACGAGGCGATGTGTGAACAGGTTTAATATTCTAGGAAGTTTTGATATTGTGATTTGTATTTAAATTTAAGCGTAAAATTTTACAATTCATAAGAGTTTTCTGTAATTTATAAATTCTAGCAGATCGTGAGTCTAAAACAAATTTAACAAAATTAATATCAAAACATAAATAAAGTGTAAGGTTTGCCACGTTTTGAGTGTTATCCCTTATTTGGCTATATTTGTGTGAAGTTGCACCGTTTGCTATTTTTTGGATAGCATCATAGCAAGCTTGAGGAGTCTACCAAATTCATTTGTTGTTTGTTTCGTTGAAAGTTAGATTGAAAGAACGTTTTATTTTGAGAACACTACAACAAGGTGCGTAGTTATATCTTTCAACAAAAAATAAGCACCTTTTAAGCACTAAAAATATTTTTAAGCACTATATACCAGTAACAAAATGTAAAATAATTTTCAAAGAATTTACATGATCATGATAAAATAAATAGTTTCTGACAAAGAACTTTTTTCTTGATTATATTAGCCACTATAAAAAGATCGAAAGATTTTTCGGTTCGATTTCAGAGGGGGGCAGGGAAATAAATAGCCTGAATATCGTGCAAAATGCAGCAGAGTAGCACATGAAAGTGCAAGAATCTCACCGAGCCTAGCTCAGTATACGCACATGAGGACTCGCAAAGTATTTCGTCAAACATGTAAAATGATTGGCGCCTTTATACGCTACGACCGACGGTACGCTGAAATGCACTGTGTTTGAATGAATTGTGAAAAAGTTGAATGGAACAATGCGAAAACCACGCTTTTGCATAATACGTGGCGAAAATCGACATGGTACAGAAAAAAAACTCACTTTCGAAAAGGGGAAAATCAAGCACTTTTTAAAAACACCCAATAAAAAAAATCACCTTTAAGGGCTTTTAAAAAGTGAAATCGAAAATAAGCACTTTTTAAAAACGCTAAGCACCATGTAGAAGTATAATAATATTGAATAAGTATATTAATACAAGTATATTAATATTTGCCTCCCAAGTGAATACAAAATGTTACATTTATGTCAGCTTCTTGCTTTTATTGAGGCAGCTGTATTCTGCACAGTCAAAAGTGCTATTTTTATGTGGAAAATTTAGATTTATCTGGTTTTTACACATCGGTTCTCAATTACAGTTATTAAATCGACTTCTGAAAGAAAATTGTTAATGTCATTTACATAAATTGTTAATTAGATCAGTAACTTACATCTAAAACAATAACTTCTGGGGCATGAGGGATGCTTGTTGTTACAGATGAGTGAATAGTGGGGATGGCAGTTGTTGTTGGTACTGATAAATGGATGGCAGGAATGACTGGTACTGATGAATGATGGATCGTTGCATGTACTGATGAGTGGACGGAGGGAACGCTTGTTACTGGCATCGTCTGCATTCCTGATGTTGTGGTTCGTGCAGGTTGACATTCGGTACATCGTGTCGCTTTCCCCCTTCTGCGACTTCTTTCGTCAACGCAAACTTCCTGTCTTCGATTTATTCGAGGATTTCGCGTCCTGCGAGACCCGAGAAGGGCTCTCTGAGTTCCATCCTCCATTTGACTTATGGAGGATGGATACCGCCATTCTGGGTGATATGAAGAGCCATTAAGCCTGTTGCATCGACGATCTTCTTGCAACAAACGCCATCTGCAGAGAAAGCAACATGTAAAGAATAATATGAAACATTTTAAAAATTAAACATGTAGAATTATATTTGATTAGTTAATTACGGTTTTTAAAGTGTGCTCTTATAATTTTCCACGTACAAGGGTGAGTTGGCCATAGGTACTGACAATCTTTATATAAAAAGGTGCACATCGCAACAGGTGCATCAGACTTTTTATAAATATGCTCATCGGCTTTACATACGGAGCGTATTATTTTCCAGTAATAATTTAATAGTTTTAGCAGGAATCAGAATTGACTAAACAGGACTTGCAGCGAACGAATGAGATTGGAATATCTAGAGTTTACTCCAACATGCAGCGAACGAATAAGATTGGAATATCTAGATTTTGCTCCAACATGCAGCGAACAAATGAGATTGTAATACCTAGATTTTGCTCCAACATGTAGCGGACGAATGAGATAGGAATGTTTAGATTTTGCTTTAATGGACTTGGGAGATTACATAGAGGTTCTGTTTACATTAAATAAAATCTGAAAAATATAGGCTGAATAATGTCTATAAAATATAGAGTGAATCAGACAATTTATCTATTCTATAACCAAGGTTTTGATTCCAGATGCTCCGGGTATGCTTTTAGGCTTGCTTGCTTTGAGGTGATTCTATAAAGCTGATTTGCGCTTATTGTTATATTGCAGTGCAGGTTGATAAAAAAGATACAAATTAAACAAGAGGCCTACTTAAGAGTTAGTAAGCCACAATGTCATTGAAAATATTAGTCCAAGAATATTTTTTATATCATAAATCAGTATGTTTTTCTGTGCTGATTTAAAGTGCCTGTTTATATCGCAAAATGTTTAGATGCAAATGATTGCGAAAAAAGGATTTTCCATAAATTATGAAGATTGTTTCTAATTTAATAATGTTTGGTGAAAACAGTTAGAGTGGGTATCAAAGGAAGAAAATAGAATGAAATATAAAAAAGTCACTATATCTAACTAAAAGCAATTCTAGAAATTAAGTGCAACTGCAAAACTATAGTTCAAGCTTAACTATCATTAAACTTAATTTGTCAGATTAAAATATAAGTGTAAAATTTTTTATATATTAACCCTTTCCGGCGCAGCAAATTTTGATTAGAAATTTTGGTTAATAAGCAAATTAGTGATTGCGATTGCCAATTCGAAGGAAAGAGATTCACTTGAGCTGCTTGTTGCTTACAAGAGAAGTAGTTAATCGTTTAAAAGCTAACCTTTTTCAGTTTCTAATGGTTTATAAGACTTTTGGAATAAGTGTTTCCAGACTGGCAACACTGCACCGGAAGAAGTTACTCAAAATTAGAATATTTTAAGGCAAAAAAAAAAAAAGATTAACATTTTTATTTAATTTTTTTGCATCAGATTAAGATTTTTTTCTCGAAAACAAAAATAATTAAAGCAAAAAAGTCTCAAAAATACCAAATATAGACTTCAAACTAGTATATTATCTTTAAAAGCTTAAAAAAAATACTTACAACCAATATAGAGCAAAGATGACAGCTGACAAAACGGCAAAACTGACCACTACTATGATTATGATGACCGTTTCGATGGCCACGGGCATCACAGAGCTTTCTGAACATTATACAGTTGTGGGGTTCGATCTGAAAAGGGAGAAATATCAACATTATTTCAATAAAATGTTGGTATAAAAGAATTTTTTTAAAAAATGCATCAATCATTTAAATTATCCGACAATACTATCATACTTAATTTCTTTTTTAGTTTTTAGGAATGCTCACAGCAATATTATATGTGAAATGAAAAGTTCAGAACTGAAGTTATAGAGGGGGTTAGCTGCTCCAATTGTTTGTCAGTTGTTCCAACAGAAGGGCCTTTCTCAGCGCATGCGAAAAAATCAAATATGCGAATTCGAAATACGATTGAGAACCTGATTGGCGATTTTTTTAGCAGGTAAATATACACCAAAGAGCCATTACATTATGACCTTCCTGCTAGTAACATGTAGGACCACCTTTAGCCCTCAAAACTGCTAGCACCCGCCGTGGCATTGATTCCACAAGGTGCTGATAGGTAGTCTGAGGTATCTGGTACCAAGCGCTCACCAACTGGTCCTGCAATTCCCTCACATTGCCAGGGGGTAGCGTGGCAGCACGAATTTGGTTTTCCAAGTAGGACCACAAATGCTCTATTGGATTACGGTCAGGTAAATTTGGGGGCCAAGACATGACTTGAAAGTCACTGGAATGTTCCTCGAACCAATCCAAGACGATTCGACCCTTATGACATGGCGCATTATCCTGTTGGTAAACACCATCCCCCGCAGGAAAAATTGTTGCCATGAATGGGTGAACCTGGTCTGCAACTATGTTCAAGTAGCTTACAGACGTCAGGGATTGTTCTACGAGGATTATGGGTCCTAATGTGCCCCATGAAAACATTGTTCCTGGGCGAGAAACCATGAAAACCTGGGCGAGCCCATTGTTATAGATGGAGGGTGGTCATAGTGTAATGGCTCTTCGGTGTATATTTCACCAATCAGATTCTCATTCACATCTCCAAATTCGTTTGCAGTGTGGACTGTCCATAATGACTGTAACTGCTGTAACTCTTCCAAAAGAAGATCCTTAAAAAATTTGGTAGAGAAAAGAAAAATATTTGTAATAGACATTTTGAGGCAAATTTTTGGTGAAAAATCAGAGCTATTACAACAGTTGAAATATTATAATCATTCTACAAAAATCCGCTGTGAGTAGCAGTGTGAAAATTCCGTGTTTGAAAAGGTTGAAAACAAAAAATATGACGATAAATTCCGGTGAAGAAACAACGGCAGCTGAATTTCTATATTTGTTACATAAACAATTATGATTTCGATTCTTAACCCTAATTCGTGTTGGTTACTGAGTTAGATGACTTTAGTCCTACATTCTGGCATCTGAGCTAGAATTATCAGTACGCAATATCGGCGGGGAGAGATTGCGGCGGGGAAAAAGAATTTTGCGAGAAGAAAAAAATCTTCCTTTTAAATAATAAGAATAAAAAAAAGCAAAAATTTGATGTAAAAACTGAGAAATTTACGTAACTGAACCACCTCAACTGTCTGTTTTATTACAAATTAAATTTTTACAAAGAAGACCTAATTGGGATCTGATTAATTGCTTAAGAAGTTTCGATGAAGGTGAACAATACAATAATACAACTGATATTTGTACCCCTTAATACAACTGAAATTTGCAACACCGTAAAAAATCATCCGAACACAATCTCATTGTTTCAAGAATGAGGAAGTGCACCATGACAGTTATTGAGGATCACACTATCTAAGTGCTCTTGACGAGCATACAAAAACGTGATTAATGATCCCCATTTATCGTGATTTGCAACTCCTTCATGAAAGAATCACGTTAAATGCATTATCTTTATTCCCAATACCGAATACGTCTTCTTTTCCAAGTGAAGTAAATAAAAATATATTGCACAATTTGCCCAGTGCCCTATAGAGAAAGTTTTTCTTTTCTTTTTTGGTTAAAAATGTCTCTTAATTTCTGTATATTTTCCATTATACCTAATTGTTTTGTAATCAAGATTGGACACTTCAACAATTGAAAGACAACCTACATTGTCTTCTAATTATTATCTAAGAAAATCATTAGAAATGCCTCAGAAAAAAAAGAACTTAATCTGTCCCATTCTAGTTCTAAAGTAAACTTTAAACATTAAAAGCAATAAAAGTAATACTACAATTCCTGACTCTACGTTTGTTGCTAACATATTGTTATTAGAAGTTTACATGGATTCTGGCATAAGAATCGATTAGATCCCCATTTATTTCGTGGTTTCTGTAAACGTCAACTCCATATAGTTCCGGTTTTCTAAAAAGGATATCGTTTATTAAAAGTGGCTAGTAATTTCATTTCATAACTAACGCTTTACTCCCTAAGTGCCTTTAAAAAAAAAAGATTTATTAATATTATTTAAAATTTAAAAAAAAATATTTTTAATGATTTAATTTTAAAACAAATTGCATTTGTAGATGTAAACCTATAATCGGATAATAAAAAAGAGGTTATGTCAGGAGGTTTCGTGGTTTCTGTAAACGTCAATTCCATAGAGTTAATGTTCACAAAAAGGATATCATCTATTAAAAGTGCCTAGTAATTTCATTTCATAACTAAAGCTTTACTCACTAAGTGCCTTCCAAAAAACATTATTTTAATTTTTTTTTTAAATATTCCTAAGAATGCTATTTATGAAAATAATGATTTATCGTAAAAAGCAAATATTGTATCAAAAGCACGCATTTTAAAAACGCAATTAAAAATAAAAATTTGTATAAATTTTCTTTAATAATAATAAAAAGTCGACCTTTGTTGGTATACGTTCCAATGGTAAATAGTGTTCGTAACTTTAACCAACTAAACCATGCATTTGGTCGTGAATTGTATCGATTGAGTATGATTACTTTCTTGGGTAACCAATTGGATTATTATGAAGTCAATGATAAAAAAAAAAGCGTAAAGAAGAGAGAAAAATGTCAAACAAATTTGCTTGAACAATTAACGTTCAGAACCAGCACGGTGAATAGAAATTGCTTGGCCAACTTTGATAAGCTATAGCTCCGGAAAGTAAAAAGATAAGCCAGTTATATTTCTTTCTTTCCCTTCTTTTTTGTCACGATAACACATTAAATTTGTATTTTTGTAAGAGAAACTAATTGCAATACACAAAAAACTTGAAAAACTGAACGAAATATGCAAAAAAGGAAGTAAATAACGTATGAAAAAAATTAGTGAAGTAATTCTAATACACTTTCTATAATAAATTCTTCAGTGTTTAAAATTTTTTAGTTGAAAATATTCCCAAAAAATGCTCATCTTTAAATTCTTTTTATAAGAATATTTTGTGAAATATTTGCTTAAAACAATAAAGCTTTTAGCACATACTACTATTTTTAATTGCCTTTATAAATACATTCTTAAGCATTCTGTGATAAAGGGGAAAGCAGTTACCTAAGTTTTAACACTTTATCAATGGGGGCAGATAATGGATTACGATAGTATCTATCACTTAGTTGCCAATTAACGGAATAGTAACCGAGTTCTCGTAACACCCAATTTAACTGAATCAGGTTTTTAGGTAAACTCTTCTTGATAAATGCTACCAGTCTTTGCAATGTTTCAAAAACTAAGATACCAATCAACTTAAAAGAAACACAGCTATTGATAAGGGAAAATACCACTTTCAGCATCTGAAAGGAGACTTGTTTTTCTAAGAAAAGAAATTTCATCAATACAAAAAAGCTAGTGAATTTATCTACATTGTTAGAAACTATATTTACAAGAGTTAATAAAAGGAATTCCGTGAAACGAAACGATGATATCATAGATATTTAATGCAATCGCTTGTCTCGAAAATTTAACAGCATGAGTATTGTAGATTTAGTTTCTACATATACTTTCATTATCAAATAAACTGGTGACATATCAATCACAATTATAATTTGTTGATTTTAGTTTTGAGCACAATTACTTGTTGACAATATTTTTGACCATGAATTATTTGACTATCAATTGTTTATCGACAATATTTTTGCCCATCAATTGTTTATTGACTATGCTTTTGCCCATTTATCAGAAACTTTAATGGAATGAACTAATTAGAAACTAACGTTTTTTTAAATATACAATCAACTCTCTTGATTTACATCCAAAAGATATCTAATAAGTTCATTGGGTCAACTCAAATTATTACCATTATTATTTTTTTACCCATGCAATGGGTATTTTTCCTGTGAATCGTAAATCACGTGATTAGGAATCGCATTTTGTGATATAGGGTCAAAAAAGTAAACTTTTTAACACTATCTTTTTTATGAAAATTGCGTTTTGTAAAGTTTGTATATTGTGAAGTCAACTAGCAATATGTAATTCATAAATCTTGTAAATAAAAATAGCAATATGTAATTCATAATTTTTGTAAATAAAAATCGCAACATGTAATTCTTAAATCCTGTGAATGCGAATTGGAGTGTGTAATGTTTAAATAATGACAAAAAACCACTTTATCAAAAAGTTCCGATATGAAAAAAATTTGTGATATAGCATAGATTAAGTCAAACTTTTAAAACGCTGTTATATCTGTTATTTTATAATATACAGATATAACGCTTCTGCATCAATTAAACACAAAACGTTTGTTACATTTTTGTCTTGACTACCTACAGATTAACTAAAGGTATTTGTATTATTTATTTCACTATAGATAATTACCAACACATATACAGTACGGAAGTTAGTTACGGTAATATTTTGTTTTTATTAATTTCTCACATTACACCTAAAAACGTAACAATTAAATTATCCCTTATGTTCCGATAATTTTGATTTTTTAGGCGTACTCCTAGTCGATTAGGCATTCGATAATTTTTTTAAAATAAATATTTAATGATTTATATCATATGAAATTAATTAGTAAAGCTAAAAAAATAATACTTTAAAACAGGTAGGAAAAAATAATTAAAATTCGCAAAAAAGAATTATCTTTCAGATATTTTCACAAAGGTTTAATAAACGCTGCTAGATGAAATAATCTAGTCATTTTTAAAAATCACAGAATTCCCAAAAAATAAGAGCGCACACCAGAA